CATATGTCTCTGGCTCTTTGTGATAGTGTAGGCCCTTGATAGTAGAGAGAACTTTGAATTTGCCTGATTTGGGTAAACTCTGCTTTGGGGAAGAAAGGGCTTGAGGGTCACATGAATAGTAGCGATAGGTGACAGAAGGACGGCCCGGCGACTGGCCAGCAACAAGTGGCTCAACATCGATGCGCTGGACTTTGGGGACCATGGCTGAGTGGAGGGGAGTTTGGGAGGAGCGGCGCAGGAAATGGGAAGGGGTACACTGATGAAAGGGGGCAATTCTGGGGTTCAGGTGGCTTTGTATGCGACTGAATGGGAATGTTGCTTACCGGCATTTGCGATGGCCTTGGGATGGACAGCTGCTATATTTGGATACAGAAAAAGCAAAATAGTCGTGAATGGAATATTCGTTCTGTTGTTACGAAGTGCTGCGGATCTGCACAGATAGGTGAATCGGTTTCCTCACCACGGTTTGGAAGAAGTTTGGAAGCTGATTTGGGGGTAGGGATCTGGCGTTACAGATAAGAATAGAACAGCACGTGGACCGGGGAGAACACGTGCGGGCGAAACGTGTGGGAAAGAGAGTTGTCCGAGAACTGCAGAGCTCGTGTTCTATGAAGGGAAGATGTTGTAGGTACACGCGGTATGCGGTGACGCTATCGCTGCCTTGATCCGGAGGCAGGTCACCCCGCAGTGGGGGGCTGAGTAAGGAAGTCACAGCCCACACGCCCATCACCTACTCCCCTCCCCAACCAACTCTTGGGCCCCAATCTTCACTATCTACTGCATATCATCTGACTCGTAATCGAATCCACAGAGACTGAACATAATCCTTGGAGTGAAAGAACGACTAAGATGGTGATAGAGAATGACATCGACGACGCGTGAGAGGCCCTAAACGCGTGCCTTCATCACTTCAAACCCCTTATCTTTCACCATTGTCAACTAACACGAAGCCTGCAGGCAATCTCACCTGCCTCAGGTTTCTTCGGGATTTACAGCAATCAACCACGGGCAGGTATATCGTGAACAGCTCTTGACGCCCGAATCATCGGCGGCCACATCAGTCCCGCCGAACCCAGCCTCATCAAGGGCGATCGGCAGCCCGCGACGACGGCACAATCCAAATGTTGCTCGATACCTCGGCTTGGGCAGCACCATTGTGCCAGATCATCTCAAGAACTATGCGCCACGGCTAGCAAGACCAGACAGTCCACTAGTTGAGTCTGGGCGAAAGCGCCTGCGGCAGGCTGATGACAAGATTATACAGCGTAGCTCCCGCACAAGAGGGCTTCAAGGCGGACTCGCAGCATCGACATCAGCACCTACGCTATACAGTACTCAATATTCTCAAACTACCTATGACACAAATGACAGTATATCCATTATGAACAGCCAGGCTTTGCCCCAGCCATACTTTGCTCAGCCTGAAGTTTCGCACGTGACTCCGATGAGCACTCTTGACTCAGAGACCGTGCGAATGAATAGTCAAGACGCGGTGAAAGGACCACATCCTGAGAGCCCCTATTTGTCACTACCTGATCAAGGAGAAAACGATGTAATCGGTATATGTCCGGGTACTAACGACAGCAACGTGCTTTGTCGAGACAATGACGACATGAATACCACCAGCGATGATTATGAGTTCGATATCACGGACGATGAACTACTCACTTTAGCTTCGGGTTTTGATGAAACGCGTTTCGACGTCCCTCACAACGTCTCAAGCTCACTGGCAAAGTCCTATCCTAAAGATAATGAACAGATGCACGCTAGCGATGACTGTAGTGAAAATGCACCTGAGGAAGCGCCTGCTATCAACACCTCTCAGCACACTCGCAAGAAGTTCATATCTCCAGTTACTCTAACTACCCGTCTATTGACGGTCACCAGCGATGAGGGATCTGCAAATGCTCGGGCCCCGATTGTCAGACCTCCATTTCCGAAACCAGCTCGCGACCGCTCGCCTATCATAGGCCTTTCGTCGAATGTTATACTCAGAACATGTTTCCGGATCGGTGAAGCAGCCAACCAGAGCCATCAAGCATCAAAGTCAGGGCAACAGATGCTCATCGAGCTGTATGCCAGGGTGCTTACTTCGGAGCGGACTGAGAAGCATCAGTATTTTACCTTCTGCGACCTTTTCCACGCTAATCCTCCACACGTGAAGGGCGTCTACGATGCAGTTATATGGAAGGCGGTTCCGCTTTTCGAATATGACAGTAGGCGGCTGTTGCAACAAGGACGGATGTGTCGATGTATCGGGACGATGAAGCGCAATGGCAAAGAGAGATTTATGGTTGTTCATAACATATGGGAGGCGACTTGGGAAGATATTGAGTGGGTGGAGGGCATTGTGGGCTTTTAAGGTGTGGTTGGGGCAACGGGCACATGTGAGACGATCTGTCAGCGATCTAGGCGCGATAATGATTCTTGGGGAATGTGAATATGGGGAGATGCTCGATTAGGGTTTGTCACGGGGTCCGATGGAGATGATTTGTAGCCGAGTGCTGGGTGAGGCACCAATAAAGGTAACAGAGGGTGAGGTTGCTTGTGGCCCGCACGTGACGATAGGAGGCCCTGATTAGCAGCCGCCCCGCTTTGGTGACATTGACGTCGAGCGAGGCGGGCCGGGCGTATCAATCGCAACCAAGGTTCATTCCTGTTCACAGCGCGTGGCTAATATAATGAGTCTCGCCAGTCGCCCTGCAGAACCCTCCTTCCTCTTCCCTGGTTGCAATGTTGACGGCCACGACGACGCCAGACATCACTAGCAGACGCGAACCCGGTGACCGCGAAGGCGCCGTAATGGCGTCGCAGGTAGTGACAACACCACCAAAGACGCAGTCGCCCAAAGCACGGTCTCTCTCCGACAGCACACCCCGTCTTGAGCCATCGCCAAAAATCCATGAATCCGCACGCATGTCAAAGGACGACCACACCATCGATGCCAGCCCCAGCACCCCTCGCCGCCCAGACTTCCTCTCCAGAGGCCTCTCTCTGCAGATGCCCCCAAGAGAGTCGCACATGCCTAGCCCCGCCCACTTTGCTGCGCGTGTACCTCTCTCACCGCAACTAGATGCGCGCAACACGTATGCCTCCCCTGGGTCCGTCCTGCCCCGCCGCTCCCGTGGTGCCGAATTCTCGAGAGCCTGCACCAATCTCCATCATTCGACGCTCCCTGACCAGTCGTCCCCCGACTCCTCGCCAACCATCACGCAAAAGGGCATCAAGATACCACCGCGGAAGCCTCGCTCCAACTCGATGCTCATGGAATCGCCCAACGTGAGCTTGCATGGGAGTGGATGGAGCCATGGGGATAGGACGGCGCCTTCGAGCTCGGTTGGAAGCATTAACATGATGGGATCTGAAGACTCGAGCAGTTCTTCAGACGAGGTGGACCCATTAGACCCTGATGATCACGACGACCCCATGATCACGACACCACAGGCTAAGACCAATGTTTTGTTTCCAGGTCTCGGCTCAGGCAACAACGGGATCTGGGCAAATCTCTTCTCCCCCGGGGCACAACCCAACTTTGCAAGCATGCACCGCGCTAGACTGCGTAAGGGCCGAAGTAGGAAAAGTTCGAGCTCCGCCAGTGGGCATAGCTCAATGGCCAGTCCTGGCCCAGGGTCACCGCCGAATGGTAAGGAAGGTGGGTATTTTGCCCGCGAAGCAGCAATACGCAAGGCAGGCTCGCGGAGAGAGAGCCTTTCGCTTTTTGCCAACGACCTTCACATATCCTCTGGTAACGATAGTGGCGATGAAGCTGTCAATTTACCTCAGACCCCTGGCGTAGTGAGGCGGGCGGTTACACGGAGAGGCAACTTGCTTGTACGTTCCTTTTTATTCTTGTCTTGCTACTCGAACTGCATATGCTAACTTGACCAGCCAAAATCGAGACAATTTGGCCGCATCAGAGCCGAGTTATTCGAAGAGGCGGCACCCGTAGATAGCGAGTTCCGCCGTGAAGCCGAAATCATACGGCAAGTAAGAGAAAGTGATGTAGACCAGGAAAGGACTTCAGTCACCGCCCAGTCCTCGCCTAGCCTTCTACCTGCCGTTCCTGGACTGGATGGACCACTGGAAGGAGTACCGGAAGAAGGTGACGAAAGCAGCATGAGTCTCGACAACTCCAACGCTAAGGGATTGTTTGGTGTGTTTGGTAATCTGCACAGCACTGGCAGAAATTCAACAAGCCATGGCTTCTGGAATCAACGTGCAGCTCACACTCCTCCCCCATCCTTCCCTCGAGCGGAATCATCAGCAATGAGTGAAGACATGAACATGGATTCGCCAATCATCGGCCCCAACGGTGGGGCATCTCGGGCGTCCACACCCGGGCCTATGCAACCCCCCACGGCAGCTGAAGCGCTGAAGAAGTCAAATAAACGCCGGCGAGATGATGACTTTGACGAAGCCTCAATCAAACGCCGTGCTGTCTCGCCTGGCGTCAGCGTTCATAACAGTCCCGTCATTTCTCAGTCGCCTGCTCAGCGGGACGGAGGCCTATGGGGAACAAGCGCCAAAGCAAGCAGAGAAACATCCATCAGTGGGCACTCGTATGGTGAGCGCTCAAATAGCGGAGGCAGTATGAGTATGACGCCCACATTAGGGCCAAAGAGGGTAGGTCTACAAGGCATGACTGACACGAGTGATGGGTTGATGAAGATGAGCATCGAGTAGGTGCGCAAAATGCGTTGTTTCACAAACTACGGGAAGTACACGGTATTGGTTTCATTTCTGACATGGTGTTGAGGGCAAGGGGAATTGAACGTACATGACTAGTTCATTCTTGCACAGGCTTTTTTTTGAATAGATACCCATTTATCATCTTTCATACTGTCACCAAGCGCCTGCCGCATTCTGGGTTCTGTGTCTGCTCTGCGTGTACGCGGAGTGAGGGGTGGCCCCTGCACTCCCGCTGGACCCCGCCCCGCTGGGCTCCTCCGCCCTCGATGTGCCAGCACAACAAGCAATTGCTGCAACAAACAACCGCAAAAATGTCACGAACAACAGCCCTCTCTTCCTTTATCGATAGCGCACCGCCGGGTGAGGTATATCCCCCTCTAGCACTGCATATTGTTCGTGTTACAGCGCCGACTGACCAGCAATACAGCTCGCGGATGTCACCAAGGCAATCAAGTCAATCCTCGGTGACGACTCTGTACAGAACGAGCTCTCTCCTGCATTCCAAAAGTACAACGAAGAGCAATTCGCTACGACCAAGCTCCCCGGCGGAAGCACTGAGGTCCTAGTCAGCCAGTACAACTCGCTGGGCGACGGCAGGTACTACGACATTGACACGCAGAGCTCGTTTGATTTCGACCATGTCACTGGCAAGGCAAGCGCCGTGCAGAGCTACGTAATAGAAACTGCCAATGACGACCTTCTGTACGTCTATCTCCGCATCTCCAGGCGCTGGTGCCCAAAGAGATGGCAGCATGCTAACCCCCCACCCCAGCAAGAGCCTCAACAAAGCCCTGAGCACACACGCTGCAGAACACTACCCCAAGTCCTCACACGGCGTGTACCCAATCCCCTCATCCTCCAACTTCGCCATCATCACCGTCGCAAACAAGTACTCGCCCACAAACTACTGGAACGGCCGCTGGCGCAGCTCATACATCTACGACTCATCCTCGGGTAGCATCACAGGCAGCATAAAAGTCGACGTGCACTACTACGAAGATGGTAACGTGCGCCTGCTTACCACCAAGGAGATCAGCGTTAATGGTAGCGGCGCCAGCGGACCGGAGGTCGTGAGGAAGATTGCGGCTGAGGAGAAGAAGTACCAGGAGGATTTGAACAAGGCGTTTGCCAGTTTGAGTGAGGGCGCGTTCAAGTCGCTGAGGAGACAGCTGCCGATTACCAGGCAGAAGATTGAGTGGGAGAAGATTAGTGGGTACAGGTTGGGTCAGGATATTGGCGGTGGAAGGAGGTGAGAAGGTGGCTTTGAACAGACGATGACGATGGTTTGTCGGGAGGGTTTGTCAATGGGCGGGGGCGATTCGTAGCGATATACCTAGCATGAATGAAGTACTGATTGCGTGTGATTAACAAGTTCTTCTTGATCTATCTATCCATAGATCTCTAATGATGCTAGAGGAATGTATCGTGGTTAGTGTTATTCCCCACCAACAGAAACCAAAACGCTTCACACAACACAGCAATAATTCCAGATTAGATTTTCGATTGAGGAAAATGGGTGTCATACGCATGTACATAAAATCCAAACGAGAAAAGTAAACATGACCATGAATCCGCAAGAACGACGTAAATCAACCACTCAAAAAAGAACGCCCGCTGATTGAAGAGAGAGAGAGAGACGAAACAAGCCTGTCTCAGTCTTCCCTTCTCTCTCCTGCCCACCCCCCACCCTGAGAACAAAAGGGGGAAAAAAGGAAAGGAAAACGCCAAACGAACCGATTCTAGGTTCCTGTATACACAACGTGGACTGAACGACCCCACCTTTTCCGTGGGAAGTATTCAAAGTCGTGAAGAAGAAAGAAGGAGGAGGAGAAGAAAAAGAAGAAGAAAAAGCTGGTATGTATTCTTCCCTCATGTGGCATTGGATAATGGAGAGAGAGAGAGAGAGAATAAAAGGAAAAAGAAAAGTGGAAGGGAAAATTTATTTAGTGATGAAACCGAGGTAATCAGCGACGATGAGGGTAACCATACTGTTGATTTCCATTAGTTGGGATATTCAAAAGTTAAAAAAAAGGTGAGGAAGGAGGAAGAAGAAACTTACGCATGGGGCGCAATGCGCACATAATAAGTTCCAAAGCCACGATAGAACCTGAGCAAACCTTCTTCTTTGGCGACCTTCTTGAAGCAATCAAACATGCCCTTGTACGGCAACGTTCCATCGGGCGCACGCGTCTGCTTCTGGAGGCGTGTCTTCATAAAGTCAAAGGGGAGAGATAGGAAACTGGCGAAGAAACCGGCGATAGCACTGGCGGTGAGGGTCTGGGAGCGGCTTGACAAACTCGTGTTTTGCAGCTGCTGCTTTGCCTCTGAGAAGAAGGCGAGCTGGCCAAAGTTGAGGGCCATGGCGCGTACGACGGTCGGGTAGCTGCCAGCCCAGAGGCGGGTGACGCCTTCGGCCTTGCTTATTCGCACGAGGGCGTCGATGACGGAGGAGTAGTTTGCACGCTGGGCGGCGGGCTTGAGGCCGTCGGATTGCATGCGGATGAGGGCGAGGTCAGCGGGGTTGCCGACAATGGCGGCGAGACCGCCGGCTGCGAGACCAGCGCCTGCGCGCTCCTTGAAGCCGATTGAAGTGCCGTTTTCTTTTGCACGTGCGCTTAGGGTCTTCATGAAGGTGTCGAAGAAGCCGAGCCGGGCGGTCGTGTATACGGCTTGGCGTAAGATGCCGGCGCTGAGTCCCGTGTAGAGATCTAGCACTTTGCCCTGTGCAACAATGTCTCGGAGCACGCTGATGGGTGTGGGCTTGGGGCCGGTTTTGACACCCTCGCCGGCGAGTTGGAGGCGTACTTTGACCATGTCGACGGGCTGGATGACTGTTGTTGCGGTCATGCCTGCGATGCCGCCGTTTACAAACGGTAGTGCTGCACGCATAAATGGTGTGTGGAGAAAGTCTGAAGTTGCCTTCCTGGGGTTCTCGGCTGCTTTGGACATGGCGGAGGAAGCGTCGCTGAGGACTGATTCTGAGGATTGCTTTGCGTTTTCGAGGGCGCGGGCAGCAGGCATCTTAAAGGTATTGGTGGTGGCTGTTGCAGTTGACATGGCAGGCGTCAGCAACTACACGTAGTCCTAGCTCGAAGGATTTTTCGTGTGTGAATGGGGGTAAATGATATAAAATGGTAGTGCTGTTGGGTATAACGCTTCGCTATGCTGGAATGATCAAACGGGGAAAGCAATCTAGGAGAGGACTGAAGTTGGAAAAGTCGACAAAGGAGACCGCCGTCTTAACTCTATATGCCCAGGCACGATGAAACTACGACATGACGCGCGCCTGTGGCTCCAAGCCACTTGCAAGAGCCTCATGTTGCGATACAGGTTCCAGACGGTATGCGCCGCGGCCGTGGACATTGTCGAGGCTAGCCTGCTATGACATGGATGTACAGTTTGCGCCCGACGCACAGTAGACATTGCAAAGTGGGCTTGTGACGGAAAACGTCTCCGTGTGCAATGGCCCTCCTCTTTCCGATCATACCCGCGTCGTCACATAGGGGGCACACAACATGTCGGTGAATAAGAAGAAAGGGTGTTGGGGCGTACCTCGTGCTATGGAGTCTGTGCGGAGGTGGATGTCCCGGTCCGAGTAGGAGACGAGTGGGGTGTGGGTCGGGTGGGCTTGGAAAGTGGATGCGTGCAATGGATGGCGTACGTGCGTTGGACGGCCGGCTTCAGTGAGTGCTTCAACAATGTTTGCAAGACAAAGTGCTGAGGATGTGAGCAAGATAAACGAGGCTGGAGGTTCAGTGAAGAAGTGAAGAGGTCAGAAATAGCACGATTGCCTACGTATTGTCAACAAGTCAGTCCACTGGTGCCATGAATTGAGGGGTTGAACGGCCTTTCCCCGCATCGCCGTCCTACCCAGCGAGCCACTGATATGGAGAGCTGCTGTTATGCGCATTTCCATGGCTGTCCGTCCAATCAAGCCTGACGAGTTGCCTGTGCTCTGATGCCATGGTCGCCTCACACGCTCCAACGCCATGGCGGAGTACCAAAAGCTGGAGGCGCTTGTGTCGCGTGTCGGACCCAACCTCTTGTCCGTCCCTCTCTCCGACGGTTGCTTTCGGGGGACCTATGCCTGTCTCCGGGTCAAAGGGTTCAGTCAGATCTTCAGGCACGCCATCCTTCATTGCCTCTCCGTTGCCCCGTGTGCGGAACCGCTACTATGCTGTACATAATCACGAGCAATGACGTCTGTCGCAGCAGCCATATTCGGCCAATCTATCCGTCGCAAACACGCCCTGTCACATGCCAGCGACCACCTGTAGCAGTACATCACCGTACATAAGCTTCATGTCAGGTCCTCACCTAGTTGTAGGCAATGTGACCTCAGCGCGCTTTTCTGCACCCGAATAGCCTCTTCGACAATCGCGAACCACAACCGTGCATCGTTCTTACCAGCCGCGCATGGCATGCGCAGTGCTTTTTGGGCCGCCTCGAGTCCTTATTGATATACCGCCTTTTGCGCATCTGCTTGGAGCAAAAGGGTCACGCCGGTTCTGCTCAAACGCAGGGTCTTTGCCGTGCTTGTGAGCCGTTCAAACAAAAAGTGCTTCCTGCGCGGCGGTGGTTGCGCGCTTGAACGTACCCGAGAGGTATCCGCGGCCGTAGACATTTGCTTCTGACGATAAGCACCGAGATTTTGCTGGCTCCGATCGAAACCACGGTGGGTCTTTCATTGATGTCTAGATGCACGGTTTTCCGAGCACAGGTCCGTCAACAAAAGGAAAAGCCATTTTGCTTATCCGGGGAAGCTGTCGGATAAGCCGAGGATACAGCAACGGCGCCCTGTCTGCAGAAGTAACACCTTCACAAAGGTTTGCGATAACTTCATTGGGGAAATATCGCTGCACGAGAAAAAGCTGGGACATTTACCGGCAAGTGAATGTGGCGCTGGACTTGGGCAGCAACTTGACAATCTCAACGCCTCATGCATTTATGGACTATCCATCACAGATCTGCGGGTATCAGTGCGTCCTCCCGTCTGAGCCTCACGCTGACAGTTCTCCGTCGCTAGCATCGCTAGCATCACCTCGGTCCCCGGCACTACCTGACGGCACTGGCTGAGATTGCTTGCCCAAACTAGGCGCTTGCATCTCATCCTCGGAACTTTCGTCGGCTTCTGCAAGCTCAGCTTCCTGCATGCGCCTGATCTTGCGAATGAGGACTTTGTTCGAGTGCACATCCGTTTCTGTGAGCATCTGGCCGAAATTGTCAGCATGAACATTCATCCGGGTGGCACTCAACGATCAAACAAAACGGAGGAAGCCATGCTTACCTGGTTACATCCAGTCACCGGACAATCAACTGCTTTTTGTTGCCCGATTCTGTGAGGACCTCGCCGAATCATCTCGAGAATGGCATTCTTTTCAAAAGTATGCGGACACTTGCTGCTCGAGTACGGCTCTTTGAACTGCTGATACGTGATCGGACATCGCGTGCTGATAGTAGCTCGGTCTACGACAATGTCATCGTCGTCGAAATCACCGCGCTGTGTGCTGTCCGTGATGCCTGGCGCTGGCGATCCAGTCTCGGTGAACCAAGTGTCTTCGTGGCCCAACACAGGGCCATTGTCCCCGTACTTTGCATCATGCACTATCCGCTTGAAGTCGCGGTATTCGTTATTGCGGGCATAGCGCGCCGTAAGGGAAAGTGATGTATAGGTATCTTTTTCGCGTTGCACACGCGAGGCAAATAATTCGCTTGCACCGGTGAGAGCTATTCGAGATCCATCAATAGGGGTCGGGCCGGGCGTAGAGCCTTCATCCATCTCAGTGTCTCCGTCTCCATCAACGTTTCGTGTACGCCGCTGAGTGCTTGCTTGGCTCTGTGATTGTCGCTGCGTTTCCCGCTGCGTCATCTGGGTGCGGTATTCTTCTTCCAACGTTATAGGTGCATGAGTTCTAAGCCAATCAAGCGTATCATCAATTCTCTGCGCCGCAACACCGGAGTCAATGACTGCACGCATGCTTTGTTCCAGCTTCGCAGTGGCTTCTTCTACTTTCAATTTCAATTCCTCCATGTCGCGCTCTTCCGCGTCTCTATCCTCCAGGTTTTTGCCTGCATCCCACTTCTTCCGTCGACGTGCTATATATTCGGCATGATCGCGCAGAGTATCGTTGACGTTCTCAGCACTGGCAGTGATGGCGGCGGCTGCCTGCCTGCTGTGTCTTTTGATATCGTTCAAACTGCGACCCTGCAGTTCGCGCAGGGCGCGGGTCGCCTCGGTATCAAGAGGGTGGGACGGCTTCTTGTACGGTGGCAGTGTGTCTGCAGCAGCATTGCGGCTTGGGGTGGACACTCCGGACTGGCGGCTGGCAGTCGGTCGAGCCGTCGATTGTCTGTTACGGGACGACATGTGGAGTTGCTCAGAATGGCAAACGGAAGTCGCTTTGATCCGCACGAAAAGGTGACGCGGATGCGGGGGACGCGTCTGTAATTTAGTGTAGCACTAGCGCCTTCGCCAAGTCACATGATCATCTAGTCATACATGTAGACATTTGTGTCCGCAGCTGGAAAGGTTCAATGGAGCTGTAATGCAGAAGGCCTGTATAGAAGGGCACTTATACACCGCAGCCTCCAAGATGAAGGAGAGAACTGCGTTACTCAAAGAATTACAATTCTACTCTGACGTCCCCTCTTCATCGACTTCGATATCCGTCCAAAAACACCAGACGCTCTGTAACTCCACCCCAGCCGTCGACTGTGTGCTTCCTTGCCAGCTTAGCTAATTCATACCCGTCTCCGCTTTCTACAGCCGTATCGTTCTCTTTACTCCATATACCCCTTTCGCTAGGCAGAGGCTTGCCCTGCTTCCACGCATCAAGCACTTTGACAGCAAGCTCGGGACGTAAACCCGTACGTTTGAGCGCTGCACTGATGAAATCATTGGGAAACCCTTGAGCATTTTGCTCGTCATAGAACTCGTTGATTTCTTCGGCGTTGAGGGGTGGATCGGGGTCGCCTGAACTAGTAGAGGTTGTGGAAGGTGCTGGAGAAGACGACAAGCCGAGAGGTTGGGCTGGATATTGAGAGTAAGTGACTTCACCTGCGTCCTCTTCCTGGAGGGAGCGGCGAAACTCTTCCATGGATTGCGTGGTGGACGCATCAGATTCTGGCAACTGAGGCGACGAAAACAGTAGCTCCTGTTGAAAATTCGCTTCTTGGGCAAGGCCAATTGAGCGTGGAAACCCGTCTTGGATGGGTGAGGATAGAATCGCCTGAGTATCGAAATTCGACACTTTCTGGCGCGTGGCTCGTGGTGTTGGCGTGCTTGAACGTAGATCATCTTCTGAGCCAGTTTCGTAACCTGGTAGTTGGCGCAGATCATCCATATCTAGAAACTCGTCCGACTCAATGCTCTCCACTTCCTTTTCTGCACTCTGCCTATCCAGCTCGACCATGGTGACCTCGTCATCTTCTACATAGTCGGGTATATCTGGCCTAGCCTGCTCCTTGATGGGCTCTGGTTCAATTGTGTCCTGCGAGTTTGCAGAGGATGAAATCTCCAGTGGCTGCTGTTGGGTGCCAGTCTTCTCGGCCGGTACCTCTAATGTGTTGTCCTTGGTAGGCGTTGCACTTCCGCTTTTCCGTCGTTTGGTAGGCCGAGGTGACTCTATCTCTTCATCCTGCTCTTCTGTCTCATCATCTTCTCGTGATCGTTTTATAGACGGGTCGTGTTTTTCAATATCGAGCTTGGGGGACTCGTGTTGAACTTTTGAAGATGGCGATCTCTTAGGTGCTTGTGCTGTTTTGGTAGGGTTCTCAGTCTCTTCCGAGACGTGCGCAGTAGCTTTTTTATCCATAGCCAGATATGGTGCTTTCTCTTCTGTCGAGAGTGAGGACCACTGTTTTATTAAGTCGATGTGTAGTGCGGCTAATATGTAGGTCAGTGATGATTGCATCAACAAAGGATCCATAGGCACTTACTATGACCCCTACCAGGATGTGCATTCAAAGTTTCCTGCTTCTTCTCACGAGCAAAGAACTTGTAGGCTGATGGGACTTTGTTGTTGTGTTCATTATTAATCAATTCTTCGAAGCGTTTGTCGTTAAAATCTGGTGTCTGCAAAGGTGTATCGCCCTCTACTGGAACTGTTGACTGTGCAGCTTCTTCCTCTGGTTTGACCAATTGAGAAAACGGTTGGCTGATGGACTGACTCTGACTTTGGTTATCTTCATCATGCTGCTTCTCGACTTTTCTCTTGATCTCTTCCCTTTTTGACACTGGATCGATAAGCCATTGCGGACGAACCACCTTTTCAAAGTACTGCCGCCATTGTACGGCCGTTTGCTTTCCCTGTTCCTCTGCCCATCTCTCCCATGCCGAATCATACTCGTCGCTCATTTCTAGGCTGTTGATTAAATCCGCAAAGGCGTAGAGCTCTAGCCAATCATCTGTACTAAACAGTTCTTTCAGATCATTGACGCTATAGTCATTTTTTGAGTTGATCTTTTTGTTGGCACTAGTTTCCTTCGCAGTCGATCCCTGCTCCTGTTTAGATGTTTGTTGTTTTGCGGGTTTGGAAGACGATGAATCTGGAGGCGTACGTTTATTGGCTTGGTCGAGCGAGGGAGATGGAGTAGCATTGTCGGGTAAGTTGAAGGCAGATGGAGGACGGTTTCGGAGCTGCTTGAGATAGCGGTCGCGCCATGATTGCCATGTGTGTTGCGGGCACTGTATTGGTTTAGCGGATGTACTTATGCCAGACTTATCTGCTCGCGCGTACCTTCTGCTCCAACTGCTTGTATATCTCGTTCCCGCTCACAGGGTTACCGTTTGACTCAGCGTCGTGTACCCATTTATAGAGTATCCTGTCTTCTTCTGCTGTGTATGGCGTCCTCCCGCTCTTGGCAGGCTGGTGTATGGCTCCCGGTTCTCGCGCCTCGCCCACCGGTGGACCGGCTGGATGGTCTTTGGGGTCGCATAGTTCTCCATCCTTGATTGACTTGGTGATGAACTCGTATGAAATAGAGCCTGGTGGACAATCTCTTCGGAAGTGATCGGCAATCATGTAATCGGCCTTCTTCTCCAGCAGCACAATCTCTCCGCCATTGGCCTTGATCTCATCCAGCAAGTGGTTGCGCGTCGGCACGCGCTGCGCGACCCAGAATTTTTTACCTGCAAACAATTTTCCGCCGGATTCGAAGTCAAATCCCTCTTTGATATCTTTGTACACCACAGATGTCGCCATGGTGAAGTTGTCACTGTTGCGCTAAGTGGTGGTGAGTCGACGCGTTACTAGTTGAGCTGTGACGAGACGCGCTCACATGTGACGGGGGATTCACGCGGGGTCAGGTGTCGGCAGCAGCCGCGTAGTCCCTTCAGCCTGTTCCCCACGATGCCTTGCACGCACACACGGCTTGGTAGACCACAACACATCACAACAATGATGCGATAATAATTTCTGGAATTCCTCCTCTCTTTGCTCCGCCATGCGACGCCCGCTACAATCTGACCTTCCCCCATTATGACTGTCGCTCGCACCATCATCATCTTCACTGTCACAGTGTCCCTCGTTACCTTCATAGCCTTTTTCGGACGGCTGCCAGCTTTTAGGTGACTAGTCTGTGCGCGAGTGACAAGATTATCTCTAACAAGACTAGAAACACACCCATTGGCTTCCTCAACCGTCTCTTCCTTATTCATATCCCCTCGACATTTCGAAAAGTCGACCTCGCTCTCACAAATGGCCGCATCACCAACGGTGGCTCCCGCCTGGGCCACTATCTTATGTACGACAAACACCCACTCGTTGTCATCTTCTTTCTCGGCCTGGTGACTGCATGCGCCGGCATGTTCCTGCCCGCTGTGTGGCATCTCGTTGGGCTACACCACAAGCTCTTTGCCTTTGTTATGCTGCCGCAGCCGTACATGTTTTTGTACCTGAGTGCAAAAAGAAACGACCAGACGTACATCAATGTATCCAACCATGCCGAACAGATGCGGCACTACCCGTACGATAGGGTGCTGTACTACCCTGGAACTGAGTGTCGGACATGCAAGTTTCTGAAGCCTGCACGGAGCAAGCATTGCAGCATATGCAAGACCTGCGTGTCAAGAATGGATCATCATTGTATATGGGTGAACAACTGCCTCGGTCGGGGCAATTACAAGTGGTTCTTGGGTCTCTTGCTGTCAACAAGTATCCTTATTGCCTATGGAGCATACCTAGCCTACTATGCCCTCTCTCCGATGGTCTTAAAGCAGTACCTAAAGTACGAGGGCTGGTATAGGTACAAACCCAAAATTGGCGTGGACTCTAAGAGCTGGGGTGCATATTTTGACCGAAAGATGCATTGTTTCCTCATGTACACGAGCATATACCTGGACGTCGGTGGCATTCGTGGATCCGGAGTTGGCCTACTCGCGCTTCTTACATGGCCGCTTCCATTGGGTCTCCTCACCTATCACATCTACCTTATCTGGGCGGGTATGACAACAAACGAGAGCTCAAAATGGGCCGATTGGCGTGACGAAATGGCGGAGGGTGTCGTCTTTCTCGGTCACCGGCGCGAGGACACAATGCATGAGTATCGTAGCCCAACGGATGATGAGGAACCGCCCACCACCTGGCCTCTAGAGAGCAGGCATATTCTCATTCGAACACGAACCGGGCAACCGCCAAAATTGCTACCTAGTCGCATCAAATCTGTCGCCAAAGAAGGCAGCTTTGAGCGTGTGTGGAATCTAGCTGCAGTCGAGAATGTGTACGACTTGGGCTTCTGGGACAATATCGTAGAGGTATTGGTGAACTAATATATCGAACAAATATAATAACCATATACCTTGCAAGTATCCATCTGCCCATGTTTCCATATCGTGAGGCTCCCCACCCGGTCATCCTTGCCGCTTACCCCAGACCCTTTACGCGTTCACGCATCTGCATCAAAACCTGCTAGTACACCCTTGCGATGCGTGACGTCATGCTCGTCGCCGTCTTCCCACCACCAACCACCAAGGCAATATACAAAGCAACTTATCTACCTAGCGTACTTGCTTGTAGCACAAAACAAATTAGTTCTTGAACTCTCATCAACACCAAAACCCCCATACTAAAAAATCCAGACACAATGACCCAAGCCCTCTCCAAACAAAACAACCAAAACCAAGTTCAGCAGCGCAACCAAGATAGCGCAACTCAAGTCCATGAGAGGACTGCGAGCGCAAATGCATCTGTGAGTCTTTTTTTTCCCTTTTTTTCCCCAATAAACACCTTGGCCAAAAAGCCCTCAGAAGCTATGCATAAAAAGAATCGAGAAAAGAAAAGGGGAAATGGGAGATCTAACGTGAAGAAAAAGGCCGGTCTAAACCTCAACCTCTTCGCCGCCCTCTCCGGCGCTTTCAGTTCCAAATCGAAAAAGAGTACGCGCCAGGAAGCGAATGGGGATAGTGTTACTGAGGAGGAGAGGTGGGATAGAGGTATGTATCTTCCTTGTCTTTCTTCTTTATTCTATAACAGTGAATGTTGGGTTGGATCTTTGTGAAGAAACAAAAACTGATGTGTGTACATGTGAAACAGGTGAAGCAAGTGGTATTGCCAGGGCGCAAGGAAGCGGGTATGCGGCTGCGAATGCGGAGCAGAGGGAAGTCAAGGCGAAGAGGGTTGATCATTTGGGGATTGAAGGGTGAGAATTGCAATGGGCGGTTTTTTAGCTAAGGAATGAGAGGGACTGAGATGGGAGGATATGGAACACTTAGATGGGATAGTTATCAGTTTTCTTAATTTATTCATGAATATGGTTCATCAATCAGATTGACATTTCTACACATGAGCGAATAAGTCCGAAAAAAAAAGAGAATACAAATGATAAATGAATAATGATAAAGATAGACTGGTATATCCCGCCGTTGCATGCTATCCAACGCCAAAAAAACATCAAAATGATACCCACCCATTCTTTCCTTCTTAAAACACTTTGATCACACTGCAGTTCCCGCACCACAGCTAATCTTACTCAACCCTTCAACTCCCCTCTTAGCAGCAGCAACATGCCAAGGTATAGTCCCATTCCTCGTACCCCTCATTCCTCTCAACTTAGCCAACAAGCCCAGTGCTCTAAACTGTCCGAGGACTTCTTTCAGCAGTCCCTCGGCTGTCGTTCTTGTCTGTGGGGTAGGCGTCCACATAAGACTTGTTGTGCTTCTCTGGCCCTCCTGACCCGGTCCAGGACTCTGTGGCGTACCAGGGTTGCTGGCATATGGATTTGGGAGATTGGAACCGCCAGGACTGGGCAGGTCCGAGGACGATATTGAGGAGGATGCCGATGCATTTGCAGAAGACGATGTACCTGAGGGAAAAGGCAAGTTGGTAGTGGCATTACGAGATGAGCCTACAGCACCGATCCAGAGGAAATTTACGGCGATGACAATGGGTCCTTGCTCTGGGTCTGGGATAGGATGCGCGATGCTATTGGATGTTTGTAATGTTTCGCCGCGTTTGACAAGCAGGCCGGATATGAGGGCTGGGCTGAACTGTGTCGTTGTATGTGAGTTGTGCAAACGATGGGCAAGAATTATGCCCCAAGTGTCGTCAGTTATGTCTATGAGACGTGCCTCGGGATCGGCGGCTGGATCTGTAGCCGTGGGGTCGGCGGCAGGTGTGGCGGCGGGTGTAAGACCCGGTCCTGGATCTGAAGGCGATACACCGGCTTGGGGTGTAGAACCTGGAGTGGTAGCTCCAGCGCCAGTTGCTGGTGTTGGATTGGGCACCGTAGGCGTGAACTGGTATGGCGGATCCGTATCAACCGCTGTAAGCAATGTGACAAAGACATTAATCTGTGTGGGACATGAGATGAGAAAGACCCATGTCTCGAGCTCCTCCCTTTCAAGCACACCAGCTTTGGCAATGCAGACACGCCAGTTGACTCTTCGAGATTGTAGTATCTCGATTGTGGTTTGCCATATCTCCTTTACAATCTCTCTAAACATTCTTGTCCCCAGGTAGTACGAGACGACTGCTTGAGATTTGCCACAGCTGTCAGTCCATGCAGCAGTAACCCATGCACCATCGAGACTGATGGCGTAGCCGAGATGCATGTACGTGTTCTCCCGCAGCAAGTCCTGAGCTGGCTCGGATATAAGCTTGAAAGGGATATTGCGCGGTAGTGTCTCTTCCAGATGGAACGCAGGTGCTTTGTATATGCTGAGAGATGTCTTGTCACCACTTGGCGCGCTGGGAGGACATCGATCGTAGACCTCTCGCGCGAGACCCATGTACGTAGATGGGTCAAGGATAACGGGTGCATCAAATGAAGCGACGTACTTCATAGGGATGATCTGTAGCACAACATCTGGCTTCTGTGGCTGATCTGGACGTCCTGGATGACCTTGCGTGTATGCCTGGAAAAGCGCCCAAAAGGCCGAACACAGCTCCCAGACTGCTGATGAACCCCCAAAAGGATCAATCATGTAAACGACAAAGGCATCGACCTTGGAATCCTGCTGCTCCCGTATTTGGCCGTACTGAAGAGCGAGAAGCTTACCAAGCTGGATACACGTATCTCTGAGAAGTTTGAATGTTTCTCGCGGTGTAATGGTCGAGGTTGCTCTAACTGGTACAAGACCGCCTTCGTACTCTACCGCCGTCTCCACCCGACTGTGATTACCAAGTTTACAACCATCATAGGCAAGTTGGAGATTAAGTAGAAAATTTTCCAAACACGGTCTGATTGCATCGCTGTGGGGATATACGCAGAACGTGACAATGTTCTTTGGGTGGCTGATAGGAGAGAGCCCTAGAGTCTCCCAAAACGCCACCGCAGGCGGCAGTAGATCCCAGTGCGTCTCTGCACGGCGCACTCTCAGGAATGGCGCCTGGATTTGATACATGTGACTTCCTGTGACTGCTGGGCTGTCTGATTTTCGTGCAGGAGGCCTTTGCTGTGCTTTGGCCAGAGCGGCATAGTCTTGGAATACTTCGTTGATACCGGCCAATGTAGGCAGATCGCAATCCGTAACCGTTGGAAAGAGGTTTTTGATAATTTTGTACCAAGGCGTCTCAGCCGCAGCATTGTTGTTGAATTCGCTTCTGGTGGGTGGGTCCTCATTGAGCATATCGAGTGTTGTAGAGACAAGCTGGTCAGTCACGATTTGTGTGATGGAGATGCTATCCTTTGCACTCAGCGGCTTCTCATCGGGTACCTCATACGCGGGATCGGGCTGAGAAGTAGGGGTGTCAGGCATCTGCGCAGG